GTCCACGTCGTGGTCATAGCGAACCTGAAGACTAGCATCTTTCGACTCAGGCGCGTGAAATTTCTTAAGGTTGCAACGCCACTGATTACTGGCATATGTCTTCTCCTTTCTGCTTCGCTGCATTAGCCATTAGCCGTCAACGCCTGCGATATCGCACCCGGTATATTAGTGTCTATAAGCCATAACACAGGCACGCCAACTGAGTCTCCGACAACAGCTGGACCTCGCGCTGTAGAGCCTGCAGCTGATGTGCAGTTAAGCTCTTTCGATCATAGAGGTGGCTGAATTTCCGCTTGATGGAGGAACCCACTATGCTGTTCACTATGAAAAGCTTCGCCTATCTTGTAGGCTCGCGCAACTTCTCGGCTGTTTGTCGCTACATAGTCGCTTGGCATTTCTTGCACAACGTTTAGACAGTCATGCTGAATTTCACGCAGTAGTTTAAACTGATATAACGGCAAACCCAAAACATGAAATGTGGATATGCACACGACACAAGAGGCATGTACAAACGTCGGCTCAATCTCCAGCTATTCTGCAACAAGTGTCACAGAAAGTCAGCTTCGTCATTAATGATAGCGTAGCAGCTGTGACCGTACAGCTTATAAAATATAGGATAACGACATGGTAAATTTATTTTCTAGCGCGCGCGCTTTGAAATTTTGAAAAAGTTCCATCTTATAATTTTTAACTTCAAATTTGGCTTGGAGGCGTAATCTAAAGAGACCGCGTGGGTAATCTTTACTCTGCTTCATCAAATATTGATTCAAGATATCTTGGATCTTCGTTAACCGCGTAAGTTTGTTCCCGTATTACTTCTCTTTGTTTCCTTTTTGGTCGTGTTAACTCGCTGTGTTTATTATTTTATTTAATATTATTGTAGCTATTGTATTAACGTGTTGTGACTATTTATTCATCTTACGCAGTCATACCTGCATCAAGTTGGCCATTTAATCATACAAAACAACCGAGCTTTTTATTATTCTACACGTGGCTGTTACTTGCAGTTCGTAATGACAGCGGTGGCTGGCTGTAAATGTGGGGAGCACAGTTGTGGCGTTGAGGTCAAAGAGGGGATTCAGTGTGACAAATGCTTGTTATGGTACCATAACATTTGCTTTAGGTTAGACCAGGACCCTATTGATCTTTATGCCAGACGTCCCCAATTACAGTGGATTTGCTTCCACTGCGTGTGCTTAGCAGAACTTGGTTGACGCTTGATAAACGATCGGACTTTTGATCCAGTTACTCATGTCTCAGCTATGCACGATTCAGCTCGTAAAAACTGTGTGCATAGACTAGACGTTGCGGAGTAGTTGATTCGTGACCAGAGCTTGCTAATTAAGACGTCGTGTTTAAAAGTCGAAGAGTTGCAGTCTTCATTGGTATATTACTTGCGAAGTGCAGAATTTACTATGGGCAGACAACGAAACGTTCTTATCTACAATAGGGAGGTGCCAGTCATACGGGAAGCTAAAACTCGACGGGACCTAGGTAGAATGCGAGTGCAAGATATCCTTCGTATAGCCGGAATACCGTTATACGTTGGTATCAAAAGAGTACCTCGTGTTGACAGTTAGAGAGAAACAAGTATGCTCCGCCAACAAGGTTATGCAAGGCCTATCCTGGTTGAGTTTTGGAACCCTATACACCGGGTCCTACCACTTAACAGGGCTGGGTTGGTGGCCACTCAGACGAATGTTCGGTACAAAATAGCACTGGACACACTAACTTTGCAGGCTAATGCCCCTTGGCTGAGCCGGTTAGAAGGTACTAATAACAGCTTTGCTAACGCATTTGCGTTCGCACCCACCGGAATTCACGATAGTGAGCCTCACGTTACGCAGACATCTAAGCAAAACTCTAGTGACGGCTATCCTGTGGCAAGGGCAGTCAGCTGGTCTGGACAACATCCTTCATAAGACGCCAGTGAGATAACGCGTGGCCTGCATTTGGTTGAAGAGAAATTTGCTCTTGATGGAAATGTGAATCACAGTGCTATGGCGGAAGAGGAGAGTGAAGATATGGCAACGGAACATAAGGTGGTGCGTTCAAACACTATCAAGGCCTCCTACTCGATACTAGTGGCACCAAAGTCCATGGGTGGTATGCCCATTACATAAAATGATAGGAAAAATAAAATATTTGCCACATCTAAACTGGACCGTACAGAAAGTCCGAAGTGCTGGGCTGTTAGGTTGACTCAGGTAAATAGGAGAAAACCCGTCGGGGGTTGATCCAGCAAACCCAGGCGGGCGAAGCCAGGAATGGATTATCCCCTAATGCGTTACGGCAACCCAGGTTGATTCCTCGACTCAGGCAGCCGATGGAAATTAAATGGTACAAAAAAGAGGTTATCCACTCGGGCCCTAAGTCCGAGGGGAAACAACCGCGTCCGGAGAGACTAAGCGTGTGGTAAACTAATTGCTGTAGTATGCGTAACAAATGGGGGGAGTTAGTGCCGCTTTGTGAGCATGTTGGTGTGGCCGCTGTGTCGGAGTCCTGGATTTCTCCAAATAACCTTATTTGTGATCTGCTTATAGACTCTGCATGCGACAGGGCTGACAGGCGCGGGTATCAGACTGGTGGAAGCTTTCTCTTGCTTATGAAGTGCCAATACAACCACTAAGAGGCTCCATTTACCATGAGTTCTGCTAACGTTCAGGTGATATCCTGCTACCTAAGAGCATGGGGTAGATTGGAGATTACAGTACGTGTTTATGGTAGTCCATCCTCCAGCGAGAAGAGGATGGGGATCTTGGTAAGTTACTAAGATTCTCCGGTAGCAACGTCTCACCGCATGGCACAACACCATGTGTCAGGAAATACTTGAAAGCCATGCTTGGCAACGCATGGCGCGGCTCCACCAAAGGTTGTAAAAGCAACCAGCAGGTATGCAATGGTAGATTATTTATTAACGTTTCTTAAATAAGATTTTCCAAATAATGGACTTGAACTACCCAAACGACAGGATAGAAGTAGCATGACGGTTTCAAACTAAACACTGACATCTGTTGTCAATATTAATACGAGTTTCGTTAGGTAGCCGCTGCTATGTGTCGTTACACGGACTTTCCACAGTGCAAAAATCGGATTCCATTCACGCAATCTTTGTGATTATTTGGACGTAAATCCTAAAACAGCACGATGGGTGGTGGGACTACTACTTGTGCACTGTGTTCAACTTAGTTACCCCCATGCAGTAGCAGCAGGATGTGTCCCATGATACCACGTTTTGCCTGGTATTTTGTTTGATAAGCCATATGCGAAAAACGTCGTGGGCGGTCAGCCTTGATTCCCAGGTTTGCCTTATTAAGCAGTAGTGATACCTGCGTTACATAGTATTTTTAATGGGTTGCGCAGGTAGCGATTTAAGGGCCTCTCAGGAGGTGCGCTCTTACTTGGGTAGCCGCTAGGTGGGCCTACAAGGGTAGCGGTTAGGCGTGGCGTATTGGCGCATCGCCAACCTGCGGCGTACCGGGGTACCGCCAAAGGGCGTGCGTAGCGTCGTGGTGCGCGCACCTACATTGGTCCACCCCACCTAAGGTCAACAGTCAGTGACCATTCATGCCCCGCTGGTGTGTCAGTCGTCCACCGTATAACCTCGAGTTCTGATTGGACAGGGTGCAAGTTCTTCACTGTGTACTTAATGCAGCTGCAGTGGAAAAAATTTCGACTTCAAAATGGTCGCTAACCTCCTCAACCATACATTTAGGTCCAAAGATAACGGCTAAGAATGTTACCACCCAGGTTCGCCTTCAAAGTCGCTTTCTGCGCTAGCAGGGAATCGCCACAAAACCTTCCTGTGGATATATAAACCTAGAACCTCTTTAAAGTCTTAACTAGTTTATGATATACTTGAGGAGAACCATTGGAAGATTCAAGGAATCGTACCAAGCCTAGTCTATGTGCCGTCGAAGCGAGTACCAAAGTGGTGCACCCCGGATTCGCACCCACGCCGCCGGGGTGGTAATTCCGCACGCTACTACTGCCTTAAGCTAACCATTGCCACGCTCCTTATAATTTGACCGAAAGCTTCCCGTAGGTCTGCTATAGCATCTCCCACTACTGCCTGGCTTTTGTACCATAGTTACACTGTCAAAAGCTTTTGATCGCTTATGGCGCATTGCAAGCTACACTGTATCGTACAAACTCTAGTCTATGTGCCACCGCAGTGAAGGAAAAGGGGATACGAGCACCGCCCAGTGAATAGATACCACCGGAAAGTACCTGCTCCAGAAGCGTCCTAAGCGCTGCAGGACCTACCGTGCGGCTTCATCAAATAACACCCATGACAGGTACTGCTAGAAATAGATGTAAACAACGCTTGAAGAAACCTGGGTTGTTGTACGTAAAGGAATCGCCTGAGGGTATTTCGGAAAACCCAAAGTTCCTTGCTTATGTTTAGCGACGTTGTGGTTCAAATTCGCTAAATCCAAATTGATGCGGGCATGTAGTGGAAAGGGCAAACTAAAACGGCTTAACTACATAAAAGGAACTCCCATTCTACAAGGTAAGAATGCCGGACCTGAACTTACGTAAAGCACCATCCTCTGTAGGCCGTCAGCTAGTATCACAATCCGGTCAGAAGACGAAACTTAGACGGCAAAATAATTCAGCGCGGTCGATCTTATGATTAGGGAACGAGGCTAGTAAACCGACGACAATCAATCACACAACACGCGTAGCCGAAACCAGAAGGCGAATCGAAACCCGAAAGAAGCTTTTTATCGGTTGTTGATCAATTAAAACAAAACTCTGCAATAATAATGGGAATGGGAATAGGTACAATTTGGAAGGGATATGTACATCGCTATAGAACTCCTCCAAGATAAGTTGGATCGATTAAAGTGGTACTGGCCAAAGCATCTTTGGCGCTTACTGGTAATTTTTCGGGTTGTTCCCAGTTTTAATCCCGTTTTGCACTGTTTTTGCCTTTATATTGCAGTCGTTTTACTATTGTATACGTGCTGTAATTCTACTCTGTTTTCCACATGAACATGGCTGTCTCGCTAAACACCGAGGCGGATGGACATATGGGGTCTTCGTTTGATGAGTCTACTTCAGCACGCGGACAGGTTAACTGTTCAGAGCCAGTAACGGATTTATCCGGCGGTATGCAGTGGACGTCTGCTGCTGCTGGGATCACCAAAGCTGTACCGGCCTACAAGCAGACCAGTACAAAATGCTATCATCCGGCGTGCACTTCCATTTTGGCTGTGCTGAATGCTGTGCTCAGAGATCGACGCGCCAGGCTATCACCGGTGCTAAACTTACAGCGCTGGCTTCAAGGTTGGCAGATTTTGAGAAGGCGATAGACAAACTCGCCTCTATCGCGTCGCTCGATCCGAAAATGTTTTTGATTTTAAAATCCCTGAATATTTCGTTTGAAGACACTGCAATAGATGGCAACATTGCTGATGATCCATGCACTGGAGTCTGGCACTGGGTCATGAAGTCGCATATCCTACCGCTCAATCCAGGTGGCATTGCTGGCTATCCTCATAAGCCGATCAAAGTGAAGAAAAATATGGTGCGGAAACAGCAAAAGCCCTCTGCTAAACCCAGAGAATTAGTTGCCACGGCATCGGAAAAGATGCCGACTTTGACAGTCGTAAAGACGTCTGACGATTGTACACAGGAGAACCTTCCAAAGATGCTGACCGTCTCGGCCGCCATTGAACCAGCCTGTTCTGACGAAATGCTGGCAACTGCTCAATGCGATACAAAGTCAACGGCCCCTGCTCCAGTGAACCAGAAGAAGAAGCGGACTAGATCTGCTCGTAAAACTTCGATGGGGCTTGAAGACACAGGAATTAGTAATACGCCGGCCATAGAACGAAAATCCGCTGCCGTTGCTTCGACGTCGTTTTTGAAGACAGAGACAGTCCCACTGCCGGTGGTGAAAACAGCCAGTATAAGTGTCGAATCCAAAGCACGTGGGGTAAACACACCCCGTCGTGCCGACTCTTTCACGGATGGTAGCGTTAGATTCCGTAATGTTACTCAAGCTGCGGCTGCTCTCGCAAAGGAACGCTTCTTGAATGACACAAAGTGGCTCAAGATGTGCGTCCTCAAGCTGCTTCCACCTGTCTTCCCTGTTGCACTGTCTGAAAGCTGAACAGTTGGGGAACAGCCCTAACGGCACGCCAAATCCGCGACCCCGACTACTTCGCTTGGTCCTTTCTACCCCGAAGGAACGCAAATCATTACTGCGGCTAGCATTCAAACGTAAGGCTAGCGGTGTCAGCGTTCAGCCAGACTTTCCACTGGCAGATGGATTGACGATGTAGGAGGCTATCAAGACCTCAAAACTAGACGGGCGGCTGGTGAGCAAGGCCACCATCTGGTGGGTTTTCAGGTGGTCAACCAGAAGGTATTTTCCGCTCTATCAGAACCCACCCTGGTGGTGCACGACCCAGGGATGCTCGTGCCGACTTTCTTGAGGTAGTGCCTAGCAGCGTACGCAGCCTAAGGAGCAAGGTGCACGAGTTGGGTCTACTTGTAGGCAAGTCTCGTCCAGACATACTTGCTTTCACTGCAACGTGGTTGTCTCCGGATAGCACGGACGGTGAGGTATGTTTACCTGGCTACGAGCTGCTTAGCACCGATTGCTCCGCTGGTCGCCAAGGCCGAGCCGTTGTACTGTATGTGACCCGTAACTTAGATGTTTTGAGGACCAGCACAGTACGGTCGGCAGCTCAAACTGTTAAAACCCTATCGGCTGGTTTGTGCACTTCTTCTACCCAGTTTACCGTTATAGTTATATACAGGGGTCCTGAAATTTCTTCTAGGGAGATACTTGAATTTAATCGCACTCCGATCGCGCATAAGCGTTTAGTTCTAACGGATTTCAACCTCACGGAAGTCTATTGGACCCAGCCTACTTGCAATTCGGCTTCAGGAACATTCGGTGCAGACTTTCTTGAGCTGTCTCCCGACGTGCCTTCGCACCAGGCCGTGGACTTATCTACTAGGTCTATGGACAATCAAATACCATGTACTTTAGATCTGGTGTTCGCCAAGTCCCTGTACCTCGTAACTGACATTCCATGCCGTGCACTTCTATGGTTCAGCAAACATGCATGCATGTTCTTTCGGTGTGCTCTTAAAAGGCACCAACCCAATACTGTGGAATTACTTCCGAATATTCGGCGGGCGGACTTTAGTTCAATGCGGGCCAAGGCTTCCTTTCTGAACTGTGAGATCTCCATGGCCGACTCTGTCCATTTAGGCTTGGATCAATTTAAAGCATACATTGCGGAGTTTCTACTCCCTATCTCCCACCCATAAGGAAAATTGGGTTAAGGGCGCAATCTACATGAATAGATATCACAGGCAAGTACCTACTCAAGATACGGTGTGGATGCTAGCAAACCGACTACGCAGCTCCTTCAGCCAGTAACTATGATAATTATCGAGAGATTAGCAACAAACGTAAGCAAGGTCGCAGGCTGTCCGTCGCCAGTAGGAGCAGAGGTTAATGGACTCCACCGCAGCTAATCCCAGGAAGCGTTTTGCTTACGTTAAAGAACGCAGTGCAGCAAAACCACCTGTACCAGCGTCGTTGCGAGCAGACGGGAGCCGTGCGCAAGTCGACTATGACAAGTCTGGTATACTTGCTGATCAGTATATTGGGGTCTTCACTCTGGAGACCTCTTTACCACAGGTTGAATTGGTTTCGAGAACTCCAGAGTACTTGCTTACCGGAGTGTAACAAAACAGGGACTCAGGTCCCCGAGCCCCTAAAAGGCATTAATCTCTCCAAAGATTCCGGTCCTAATCCAATTCAGCCGAAGCGCTGGCATGAACTTGCCACTGAGCTGAGTGGCCCTCTCACATGAGTGTTCGCAATATCGCTTGCTAGCTGCTTCCTACCTTCGGAATGGAAGGAGGTAATCATCTGTCCGATTTTTAAGGGCGGTGACAGCGCTCTGCCCGTGAACTACCGGCCTGTCAGTTTGACAAACTCGGTTATCAAGCTGTTTGAAAAGCTGATAACAGCTTTAGTGGAGAACCACCTGAATAGCTTCAACCTTCCCAGTGTTGTGCAATATGGATTCACCAAGGGATTTTCATGTCAGACTAGTCTACATGTAACTTGAAAGCTGAGCCGACGTGGCAGAGAATGATTACGCTGTAGGCGTGCAATTCGTGGGCTTTCCGACGGCTTTTGTCACTGTTTCGCATCTTCGGCTGTTCCTAAAGTTGAGACCAAACGGGATATCTGGTTGGGCCCTTTAACTGGTGTCTGCCTTACTTGAGGGGAGGGAACTGTGTCTGCGGGTGCGGCGTAGCCTTTCGCGCAGGCAAGCTGTCATTAGTGGTGGACCGCAAGGCTCGGTATTGGGGCCATTGTTGTTCGCGATCTAAGTAAATGACTTGCCGGAAGAGATAGGGGTGTCGTCACTAATGTTTGCTGACGACTTTAAGCGCTGAAATATTGTGGCTATCCCGGGGGTCCTGAGACAATTCAGCGTGTCTTGGATAGGCTCTGTGAATGGTTCCCCTTATGCCTGATGCCCATAAATAGGGTTAAGTGCTCGGTTCTCCTAATCGTAACTGCCAATGCTCACACCCGATATGTTGTCGGCTGTGGTGAACTCCCTGTTGTCACTAAGCAGGTTGCCTTAGGAGTCGTACGCGCATCAGCATTTCATTCTGGAGACAGCCGGAAGAAGGCTGCTTGTCGAGGGTTTCGTATGGTGCGGTTAAGCCGCCACTCTCTTGGTATTCTAATGGCTAACTCGTTTGTGAAGCTATTCTCGGCATTCGTCCGATCCCGCCTGGAATATTGTATTCAGGATAGTCCATCATGTATTACTTGAGACAAAATAGACTTAAAAAGGGTTTTACTAGTGCGCACTCGGTTAGTGCAGGGTCCACGGGGACAGACGTATCCTGAACGCTTGCTCTGTTTGGGAGTGCACCTAACGCACTACCGAAGAATAAGAGGGGACCTAAATCTCCCTTATCGTATTTTGACGGGTAAGATTGGCCCAGAATTGTCCTTGCTATTTAGACCCGCTACTTTTCCAAATCTCCGCCGTCAGCAATTGAAACTGCATAAACCACAGTCTGATAGGATTAAGACGGAAACTCGTCTGTCGCTCTGAGCTATTGGACTAGCTTTTCCAGACTCTTTCCAAAGTAGTAGTATCCCAGCACCATAGCATAAATCGTGTACTTATACACCGCCGTGGTTCAGCATTATATGATATGCTTCCCTTAATCAACTAACTGTATGCTTGCATTCTTCTTGTCTGTTGTCCTTTTTTTATTAGACCTTCTTAGCTCTCGTCTGGCGACCATCTTTCCCTCATGCGGTCAGTGCACAGCTGCTCCTTGCTAGCTGCACAGCTGTCACTCGTCTGTGAGAGCTAATTACTTGCAGTTCAGCCTTCTCACCGGCTTCACTCTGCTCAGTACTTCCCTACTTCTATTACATTTGCACCATGGCATGATTTCATTCTCTGCGCTTCGCCGCGTCCTCGCCTTTTATGCTCTAAAATATTTAACAACCATACCGTATCCTTGCGCTTCATCTGTTCGCCGCCCTCTCTTCATAAAATTATTCTTAATTCACATCACTGGAGCAAACCTAATTCATGTGGCCTGCGCACAGTTGCTGCATTGCCTCTCCCTTCTAAACGTCCATTTCTCCGTTGCTTGCTGCAACGTCTGTGACGCCTGCTCATGTAGGACTCCAGATCTTTCACTGGACTTTTCCAGCCCAGCATACCTTAGTACTAAAAACTTAGCAACATAACAGGACTCAGTACTTGCGTGCCTCTGACTCATATGCTGCGATGTCCTCAGCAGACTTAATGTATGCATGCACTCCGACTGTTTGATGTCCTTCCATATAAACTTTTCAGCTTTCGCTAGTACTCATTTCAGCTCTTCAAGTCGGTGCTCAGTCGCTCCTTAGCCTCTCTATTCTAGACGTTCTCATATCTCTTAATTGTTGTAACATCTTCGACATTTCACCTGTGAGCGACCAGCTTATTGGACTAGCTTTCCCAGATTCTCTCCAAAGTAGTAGTATCCCAGCACCATAGCATGAATTGTGAACTTATACACCGCCGTGGTTCAGCATTATATGATATGCCTCCCTTAATCAACTCACTGTATGCTTGCATTCTTCTTGTCTGTTGTCCTTCCTTTATTCGACCTTCTTAGCTCTCGTCTGGCGACCATCTTTACCTCATCCGGTCAGTGCACAGCTGCTCCTTGCTAGCTGCACAGCTGTCACTCGTTTATGACACATAATTAATAGTAGTTCAGCATTCTCACTGGCTTCTCCTGGCTCAGTCTTTCCTAGTTTTATTCCTTTAGCACCACAGCATGATCATATTATTTGCGCATCACCTAGTCTTCGCATATTTTTGCTATAAACTATTTAAGAGCCTTAACGTATGACTGGGCTTCATCCATTCGTTGTGCTTTCTTCATGAAGTCTTTCTTTGCTCTCTTCTCTCTTTCATGCATATCCATATATTCAGCGCAAACCGCTGTTCTGCCTCAACATTCTTATTGTCCATTTATAACCTACTTGATGTATTGTCTTAGACCACATTACCTACAATCATCCAACTCTCGGGCTAGCATTCTCTGGCACTATCCAGCTTGGTACTATTATCTTAGCACCTTAGCTGCTGCGGTTAGGCCTCACTGCTCTGATACTCTAAGCAACCTTACTCTACGCTTGCATTTCGGCCATTCCCTGACCCTCCGTCAATTAATGTTTCCTAGCCTCTTAGTTCTTCCCTCCTCTCACTTCGTCAGCACACAGACGCCCGTTAGCTTCGCATTTCTAGGTGTACATTTCTCATCATTTTCTTAGCACCATAGTAGGACTTGTTTCTCTGAGCGACGCTACATATACATTTGTTCTGCACGTTCACTTTCCTTTAACTGAGCTATAATACTTCACTTCTATCGATCAATCCTTTCTCACCTAGTAAGCTGAGTCCGTTATTGCGGCAAAGGTTTCAACACTTACCTTTGTAGGAGCTTAGCTCTCATGGGCTTTTCCTATTTCAGTAGGCCATAACACTATACTCCTAGTACCCTCGTGTCGTGTTTCTGTCTTGATCATCCGATACTTTTTACTCAGCGCTTGAGTCCTATCTATCCGCCGACTTACCACCAATTGACCTGTGTATCTCTTTCGATGTAGGCTGGACACCAGCCGTCCATCCATCATTCAAACGCCGCTGATCCCTGAACTCTGCTTTCTGTCTTCCCACGCAATAGTCACATCATAGTAAACTGATACAGCGTTTCTGCTTAATGGCGCAACGCACCGCATTCCATGTTGATGGTAGCAACCAACTTATAGGCCCATTGCCTTCAAAAAACATTCAAAAATACACCTGCACAATCATTGCTGCACATTGTACATCATTTGTCTTCACTCTAAATGTTATAACATAGGAGTTCAACAATGCTTGTTTCCACGCTTGTTCGTTGCGGCCTTGGTTGTCTCTCACCTTCCCTTTTCTCCGAGGTCCGGAACTTCTTGGGGATCTGGGATTGGACCGAGAAACCGCTTTTGTCCGGGACAGGACAACCAATAAGGACCTATGAAGCATATGGCTGTACAACAAACGGATACAACAGCACTCAATACCATGACCGTTGTCCAGTGATGATAGCTGGATTCGAGAACTTCACACTCCTGAAAAGAATACATACTCCTGAAAATTCCAGAAGCAAGAAACTGACGTTTCGCCCACCTGAATACCCACAAAGACGATTCTCCCTGAAGCCCCTATCCTCGATCGCCTCAGCCATTATGGCGGCCCAAGATACCTGATCAAATAACAGAGGAAATTGAAGGTCAGTTGACTGCGGATATCTGCGTGTGAAATCAGTCGACAACCTGGTCTGCCATTTGTTTATTAGTGCACCGACAAATTTCTAAATGAATAAATAAATAAATAATTTATTCTCGGCTATGCGAGGCACGCTCGTGGAGGCATGATCAGTGTTCCATGACAGTGTTCCATGACGTGGTGGGTTTTCGCCTGGCAAGCGTGCTCCCTAGAAAAAGCCACAAATGTCCGTATAACAACATTGCGACGTTGCAGCTGTGACTCGCCACTGAACAAAGCCAATGCCGAGAACAACCTACTGTCAAGTCGACCAAAATCATTATTCAATATTGCGCTGACACCTTCAATAATAAGTTACACCATGCCTATATGCATCGTTTTCATTACACATGTAGTGCCTTGACTGTTTACACTATGCACACTAGAATTCAACGTTTCGTAATTCATTGAAGA